AGGAATCCAACAGCATGAAAACCACGTATTTTGATAACTACAACAATTTCAGGGACTCTAATAATTAGGGAATCACAATGTTTCCCATCGTGTGCCTAACTATTTTTTTCCTTTCCAATTCTCTCTTACCTTGTTAACTATTAGACACAGAAATATGGAACAAAGTCAATCTTGCTAAATAAATACTGCCTTAATATAGTCATACTGAGAAAAACTAAGACCCTCCATATAAGTAACCATTACAGTATTAAAGATACTGTGATTTCCTCAAGAACCCTAAATCAGAGTTCTTGGAAAAAGCAAGGTCCATAGCCAGTGAAACACCATATGAAATTTACTGCTCAAAAATATTAAGTATATTCACCCTGTCAATTCAGCTCCTCATGCTACAATGTAATACAATTACCGATGTAGAAACAAGCAGCAACAAAGTCAAACAACTGCATTTTTACAGATCTTGTTTGAGTTTTGCACAATAATGAATCTCAGAAAGGCACACCTTTTCCTTTTTTTTTTAACTTCTCAAACTATTATTGTCAAATTATTAAGTGTAAACAAATATTAACAGAGCAAGGCTCAAATACATTCACAAGAATGCAATGTGTCTAAATACCTTACAAATAACACCTTAGCATCTACAATAGAAAATCCAGTTACTAATTCACAATAGAAGTCAAACACCAAACCATGTCCTTTTAATTTCTCTACCACTGCAAATAAGACACTGTAATTCGAACCACTTTCATTTGGCTATGTGGCTGCTTGCTGTGAAATCTTGCCTTCCTCTGAGGCCAGCTTCTTTGATTCTTTTAAAAAACAGCAATCAATGATTTCTGTCTTTGCTAATCACACTGATTCCTTGCCTTTGTCTGGAAGTTGAGCACACAATGGAAAAGTCCAGCACACTACTTACGTTAATCAAGTAGATTAAAAGGGAAGTATTTACAGACATTTGTATAATTAAGTGTCCAACACAAAAATTTTTCCTCCCTTCTGTCATTTCGTTAACTTGTAACAGGTTGATAAGATCTCAAGATTTAAAAATAGAATAAATTAAAAAAATATAAAAAACAATATACCAAGTCCGGTAAAACTGCTGGATTCTGCCCAAGGAATTGCTGATTTAAGGAAATGGCTGGAGACAAGACTGTCCTGCATTGCAGTTTTAACTACCATCACACATATGTGCTCACCCACTTAAGCTATGGTTAGCAGCAAGAAGTTACTATTGGTACACTTGAGTGCCACAAAGAAAAGCCCTGATTGAAGACCTGAACTGATTCTAGAAAAACAGCATCAGCCTTTCCCTTACTTCTCCCCTCCCCAGCCACTTCACTGTTAAGGTAATCTTCTTTCAGGGGTTAAAGAGATTAACAACCGAGATTCAATCAGCACTTCAGAGAGAAAGACATTCAGAAATGTAAACATTCTACTTTTATAACTGCATATCCACAAAAGAAAATTAAGCAAGCAAACTCCTTAGCTTTCAAAAGTAAAAAATATAGATGCAAACTGCTAGAAAATACTGTGTATGCATTTGTGAGGAGGAATTAGAGGCATGAGGGGAGGGAAGATGACATAAACCAAGAGTGAATAGTAAAGGAAAAATGATTGCTCACCCTATGGAGGAAAAAAACCAACGACTTAGTACTTTAGTCTCATAATAAATTACCGGATAAAGAACAAAAAATCCCATAGCAGCTGGTATGCAGTGTTGGATTTGATTATTCTGGTACTGCATTTGTTATCCAAAATGTGTATAACCAAAGTAACTTCATAACAATTTTTATCAACTTTTGCCTAACCAGCAACAAAATATTAAGGAATACAGTTCTGCCATAAAATTCATGGCTCTCTTTCTGAGGCACTGAACTCTGTTTAGACATAGATTAAGATGATAAACTCCTGTTTTCTCTGTAGAAGTCCATCTACTCAAAGAAATGCTGGCCCAAGGGATCTTAGTCACAAGCCACCAATTTCCCTTTTGTTAAATCATCATTTTAGACCAGACTGGTGTATGAAGCAATCTACTTGAGTAGCTTCATCAGTTTGTTCTGTCTTTGAAACAAATATTCTCCTATTGGTTCTGATCAGTGTGCCTACATTGGGGTTTTTTTTGGGGGGGGGGATGGGGAGGAGAGTTAGCAGCTTGTTGGAGGTCTATCAGGAAACCATGTTTAGAAAGGCATGGGCTGGCACTGCTGTCTTGTTCTGCTTTCTGGATGTAAACAATTCTATGTTAGAATGTTTTCAAGAAGAAACAGAAGCTAAAATGAATACTGTAAGGACAATTGAAGGTGAGCAGGATGCCCACAAAAATCAATAGAAGAATCAGAGTACTCCAGGAAGCAGTAATCCAGTGAGATTTTAGTGACAGCTAATTTGACTTGCATTTTTGGGAGAAGTCATATAAAGGGCAAAAGTTCTGTGCTCAATACTCTACAAACACTTCGGACAATGACAAAGGGCCCTTAATAACTCCTCTGCCAAATAAGAGAGCTCCAAGAAAGTCAATACTGCCCTCCTATCTCTCCAACTCCTTTTTACAGCAGTGTCAGATCATGAGGAAAGCTTTCTTCAACAATAATTTAAACATGTGGCCAGTAAAGTCTTTGTGGAGTTTCCTTTCTAATCTCCTTTAACAAGGATGAGCTACCAGCACAAGAAAAACAATTTTTTCTTCACGAGCCATCTTATCCCAGGATACTGAAATTCCCTCAGGGTGTCTGCAGCCTCTTCCATCCAGAGATATGGGTGTCAGAAGGAGACCACTCTATCCAATGTGTCTTTGCTCTTTCCAGTAGGTAGTTACAGAATTTACTCCTTGGTTCCTTGAGACACAAGGTTCCCATGAGTGCTTCAAGAAAGGTCTCCTACTGCCTACAGTTTGTTTTGAAAGAGGCTGGATAAACTGAGGGTGTTCCAGTCAGGTACCTCAGAGTAAAGCAGTCTGCCAATGCCTCTAAACATCATACTCACTTCCCCCCCATACTCTACCCATCTGCATCAAGATTTTAAGGGCTAGGTACTTGCCTCTGAAACCCTGAAGACCAAAAGCTAGGAGAGCCTCATGTTTGTTTCACTTCCTTTAAGTGATCTGATAACAAAACCCATTTACTAGAAACAAACAAACAAAAAACCCCAAGAAAACTTGAGAGTTTTCTCTTGGCACCAACTGGAAGTACTCTTCTGATCTTGTACTTGTGTTACAATGCAGCATGTCCCCACATGCCTTCTGGAGACTTCATCATGATGTAAGGTCAGGAACAACAGTCACGCGTAGCCATTTCAACGTGCCGCAAAGGGAAAGATGCTCCAGGGAGTTGCTCTCTTTTCAACCCTCATATAAACTCGGTACTAAAACTGTACAAGAACTAAATGCAAGAGGTAGAGCAAAGAAAAATCACTAAGGGAATGGCAGGTTGCAACTTTTTTTTTTCCATTCGACTATTCAAATTTTTCATACAGCCAAAAATAGCACATAAGTAATTTTTCATTATGAAGAAAGAGTTAGAAGAGCGAGCAAGTAAAATATCTTTCCAGAAGGATAAAACAGGACTGCAAATATCCTCTTGCCTAAAACCAACCAAAAAATCCTCCAACTAAAAAATAGCCCCTCATGCTACATAACAAAAATAAAAGAATTTCACTTGAGGTTCACAAACTGCTAATAAAAAGACAAGAAAAATATTGAAGATTTCCACTGCTACTCTACCTTCACTTCTCAGTGTTAGCATAAAAACATAAATTGTTTCTGTCAAGCAAAGATGTGCCTTCACTTCTCAAATGTGAAACAAATGTCTTACAAAAAGGTCTTCTTAACTTTCAACTAAAGTCATGGCTTAAAGTTATTAAAGTTTCATGCAATGATAA